AACAAGATACGGAAACTTTACTTAAACGAGCCCTACAATGTCTTCCCATAGGTTGGTCGATGATTTTTCTAACTCCGCGAAAGTGCAATTGTTCCTCTCGAGCCATATATGCAAAATGATCGAGGTGACTGCATTACTCCATAGGACTGCTCTCTTATTTGTGAGAGGGGAAGCAAGGCACTCCGTGATGAACAAATCTATGCGTCTTGGCATCAAGAAACTAATTTGAAAAATAGAGAAAAGTTTATACCAGAGGCCTACTGAGAATGAACAGTGGAGGAAAATGTGATACAGGACTCTGCATCTAATTTACATAAGTAGCACCATCCTGGACCGTTATATATATGTGGAACACGTTTCTATAGTTTGTCTTGGTTAAGGATCTCACATTGATAAAAGAAAGTACCTTACATAGATTTATAATTAGATATGAACTACTCTTCTCATAGTCAATTAGTTTTGATATGGAACCCATGAATATTAATAGTATGGAGTAAAGCTCGAGACCAAGTTAAAGACATAAAGCACGAATAACAAAATCAAGATCAAATCTTAGTGGCATTTGACCAAGCCTTTAAAGATCCACCAACGGTAATCTTCATCTATTTCTAGCAAAATATCTCAACCTTCTATGCAAATCAGTAAAGGCCCATTTTACTGTCCTTTCATCTTCCCATAAGAAAAGTTTGTCTTTATAAGCCGTTAGTCATTAAAATTAATTCCCACGAAATCCTTTCATTAATGGCTTCCGGGAACAACTTTCTTCTCTCTCTTTTTCTTCATATTTCTTTTGTGCACAGTTGTATAAAGCAGGGGCTTCAGCCTTCTTTGTTTCTTAAGAAATAATATTTTTACATTCTCAGAATATTGGCTCAATTCTTTATATGGTACAAAAACAGAAAGTTATGCAAGCCTACACTGCTATTTCTAAAGCTCCCTATTCAAATGTCCCAACCGTCTATGCCATATTGAATAGGGAGCTTTAGAAATAGCAGTGTAGGCTTGCATAACTTTCTGTTCTTGCTCTTCCAAAGCATATAAGCCTGCTGTTTTATGCCCTTTTCCCAAGATCTTCCCTGCTTATTCTTAATAATAAAGTTATCAGCATCAAAAGTAATAGAACAATTATTATCTTGAGTTAATTTGCTTATAGATAAAAGATTCTTTCTCATATTTGGAACTACTAAAACATTCTTAAGAATTAATTTGTTTGAATCACAGGAAGCATCATGAGTGCCTATATGTGTAATATTTAAACCTTCTCCATTTCCTACATACATTTTATCATTACCTTTATAAGACTTAAGAAGAGAGAGCTTACCAGGGTCATTTACCACATGAGCGGTTGCTCCTAAATCAGCATATATATTGGGCTCGATCGTCTCATTTAAGGTTAGAGCTGCCAATGCTTGAGGAATATCTTCTGCTTGGTAGGAATGATCGAACCGATTCCAACATTCCATGGCTGAATAATTCATTTTTCCACAAATCTGACATATAACTCCTTTATTTGGTTTATCGTGATCTCGAGGTGCACTTTCGTACGCAATCCAGGTAGTGTACAAAGGCGTAGGCAACCACAAATCTGGGGTCATTCGAGGTGTTTTTAGCCCCAGTGGCGTATATGAAACTTCGGACTTCTGAGTAGTCGATTTGCCATATGGGAAAATGATATAGCATTCACCAGACGCAGTTGGGCCATTGGCCTTGGAAAGCACTTTGTGGTGGAGAGGGTCGACGAGTTTTCAAGCCCAACAGTGGAAAGGGATCCCAACACAATCCGCTTAGGATCAAGGTGGTGAATCCAAATCTTGACCCCAAATTCTGCTGAAGAGTTCACCATGGGGTTGTGGAGTGCAGAGGATGGTCCAGTGTAATCGGAGAAGGGAGTCGGGGTGAAAAAGTCATAAGAAATGAGGTTGATCCAGTCCAAGTTTTTTGTGATAGCTTCTTCTGGGTACACAGCATTGTTCTGAAGATATGGCAAGTCTGACACCGTAGCGACAAGGATCCACTCTTCTCGATTGTAGTCTCTAGCATCATCCTTTGCAGCTTGGCGCCACTCCCCGATCAACGTCTCAAAGTTTTGCATATCTTCTTCTGAAGATGGGTACATTCAAGGTAGATCTTCTTCTGCATATCTTCTTTTTTATTAAATTATTAACCAAATCATGATGGACATTTTGTGTCATTGAAATGAACATTTAATGACAGATGTATAATGATGGACATTTAATAACAGACATGTTTATGGATGGACATTAAATTTAATGACGGACGATTACAATGACAGTGGAATAGATGTCGGTCCATGACCGACATCATAAGCAACCGTCATTGTAGGCTATAATAACGTATTCCCATCCGACGTAAACACTTACAATAACACTCGAAACGATGTCGGACGTCCCTTTAATCACGACCAATATCCAGGCTGTTGAACCCACCAGAAACTGTTGCCTCGATTGAAGATTTGATAAATACTTCGTGTGTTGAGGGGTCGCTTGCATTTGAGAGAATACTTCTTTGTCTCCTCTAATAGACAGTAGAGTTTTCATGTCTAAATTGCTCAGTCTCACATTATCAGAGAATTGATTGATTATGGTGACTTCCATCGTAGGAATCGTCACATTATATTCTGTGGGGTCGATTTCTACATACCCACACAACAGACGGGTGTAAAGAGTCGCATCGATACTGGCAAGAGGATGTTTCTCTGCCGTGCTGCTTAGCCAATGGCCACTGTTAACAGAAACTTTCATGGTTGGATGAGACCTTTTTAACAATGGAGGTACTCTCTGATCGCTCGTGGTGTTAATTTATTGTAAATCTATTTCATACCAATCCCATATACATATACAACTGCATCAAAACTCTAAAATTTCTCTTTTTATCTTTTAACTTTTCTTTTGCCAATTTTTTTCTTTTACCTCTCTAAAATTTCTCTTTCAAAAGTTTATTTCATATCTCTGAACTTATATTTTCATATCTCTATATTAGGGATGAAAAAAATTCCTACAGAATCGGGTCGCCGCTCCAAGAATAGAAAATACATGTCCTAACCCGGTTCCTATAATATATATTTTTAAAATAATTAATATATATTTTATTCACATATATACTAAATTGTGAATAAAATATTAAATATTTTTTAAAATTAATTATTCATACTGGTAAATAATAATTTTAAAAATAATCAATATATATTTATTACACTTTTTTATTTTTTAAATTCTAAAAAATAATTATAAAATCGGTAAGTTTTCATTCGAATATCCCATCCCCAAATAATGATTATTTAACTTGGATCTCGATTCCCAAATCGAAGAACAAGATGGAGACGCGGACTAAAATTTTTCACGAACACTAGAATTATTGGAGAGGACATCTCCACCTCCACACCATTGTCATCCCTACTTTAGACAAAATTTTCTCACTCTAGATATATTTTCAATTTTCTAACTTTTTAAAAACAGAAAATTAAAAATGGTTACAGTTTAGTTTTATGTTTTTTAAAAACAAAATATAGTTAGGAAACAAATATGATTTTTGTTTTTTAAAAAACCAAAAAAAAAAAAATGTGAAACGATCCCTAAGTTTGCAATTGCCTATTAATATATATATTTTTTTGCGAGCCAGTATATATTGCAACTGCCCATAAACTATCTACATAATTATGGTCACTCACATATATGATCCTTGTAGCGTACTTCAGTGCATTCTTTGAAACCTTTAGCAATATTTGCATTCAATTTTATCTTTGTAATTATTTTATCGATCTCTAGTTTCTATTAATTGATTTGTAATTGAAATTGAGGGTTTGTATAGCCGATCCGTTACTTGATGAGTAACCATTGAATAAATTAATTAAGAGAAGAACGCAAAATGAATATGTAGAATAGGAGAGGAGAATGAGTTAGAGAAGCAGAAAACAAACAAAAGGAAACTTTATTATTAGATAATAGGAAACACACAAGAAGATAGAAATGAAAGGAAAGACAGCATAAGAGAAGTGAGAAGGAGCCGAAAACAAAAGTAAGACACACAGACACATAGGTACGGTGGAGGGGCGCATGCATTTATTTTATTGGAAAAGGTTGGAAACGAAAGCAGAAGCAGCAGCATCATGCAATTGATCAATGCCAATTGGTTTTGGCAGCATTATAAAGAGTGTTGACGTCATCGTCGCCAGAAAGGTTCCAAGCAAAGTAACCCAGCAGCTGGTTTTGCTTTGCCAATTTAATTTTCTCAGGGATGGTGGATTCACTTTCGTACGTAATCCAGGTGGCGTTGGCATAGGTGTAGGCAATCCCAAATCTGGGATCATTTGGGATGTTTTTACCATTACCGGCGTTGGCGTCTATTAACTTTTTCACCTTTGAGTACTCTATTTGGCCTCCGGTGCCAATCACATAGCCTTCACCAGACGCAGCTGGGCCCACTTGCCTTCGAAAACACGTCGTGCTGGAGAGCATCTTCGAGTTGCCACGCCCACCCGTGGAAAGGGATTCCGAACACGATCTTGGTTGCAGGGACATATTTTTCCAGGTTTCGATCCCGAACCGTGCGAACAAGGATCTGTTCTTGCGGTTGAAGAGCGCGGAGGATGGTCCAGTGTTACCTGCGAACGAACCCTCGGCTGGGGTGTAAAAGTCATAACAAGCACGTAACAACACAAATAGATCGATTTAAAAGCCAAAAGAAAAGAAATTTTGAGATTTTTATCAGTGAACAACAGACAATGTTTTAGGATTTATGATTGTTTGAATCTATTAGTTGATAGAGTGAGTTAGTGAAATCAAATATGATTTCACAATATTGGCATGCATTTTATCTTTGTAATTATTTCATTGATATCTAGTTTCTATTAATTGATTTGTACTTAAAATTGAGGGTTTGTATAGCCGATCCGTTACTTATTGAGTAAGCATTGAATAAACATAATTAAGAGAAAAACACTAAAAGAATATGTAGAAGAGGAGAGGAGAAAGAATGAGAGAAACAGAAAGCAAACCAAAGATAGCCTTAATATTGGATAATAGGACATACACACCAAGGGAGAAAATGAAAGGAAAGCAGTGAGAAGGAACAGAAAACAAAAGTAAGACACACAGACACAGGTGGAAAGGAAAGTAGTGAGAAGGAACAAAAAACAAAAGTAAGACACACAGACACACACGTGGAGAGGAGCATGCATTTATTTTATTAGAAAATTAAGGTTTGGAAACCAAAGCAGCAGCAGCATGCAATTTATCACTGCCAATTGGATTGGGCAGCGTTAGCAAGAGTGTTGACGTCGTCGTCGCCAGAGATGTTCCAAGCAAAGTAACCCAGCAGCTGGTTTTGCTTTGCGAATTTAATTTTCACAGGAATGGTGGATTCACTTTCGTACGCAATCCAGGTGGTTTCGGCATAGGCGTAGGCAATCCCAAATCTGGGGTCATTGGGGATGTTCTTACTCACACTGGCGTGGGCGTCTATGAACTTTTTCACCTCAGAGTAGTCCATTTGGCCAGACGCAGCTAGGCCAGTCGCCTTCGAAAACACGTCGTGCTCGAGAGCATTGGCGAGTGTCCATGCCCAGCCGTGGAAAGGGATTCCGAACACGATCTTCTTGGGAGGAACGTATTTTGTCCAGGATTCGATCCCGAAGCGTGCAGACAAGGAGTTGGACTTGCGGTTGAAGAGTGCGGAAGATGGTCCAGTGTAATCGGGGGATGAACCTTCGGCTGGGGTGTAAAAGTCGTAACAAACAAGGTTCACCCAGTCGAGGTTTTGTTTGATTGCTTCACCTGGGTACTCAACATTCTTCTCAATGTATGGTAGGTTCGGCACGGAAGCCACCAGGATTCGCTCCGGTCGGTTGTTGTTTCTAGCGTCGTCCACAGCCGCCTGCCGCCACTTCACAATCAGGGTTTTAAAATTTTGCATATCAGTCGGAGAAGATGGGTACAACCACTGTAAATCCAGGCCGTCAAACCCACAATCAACAGCCGCCTTGATCGAGGAATTGACGAACGTGTCTCGTGCTGTGGGTACTTTTGCAATGTCTGAGAAAACTTTGCTGTCTCCTCTAATGGACAGCAGAGTCTTTACACTAGGATTGCTCACTTTCACTTTTTCGGAGAAGTGACTCACTTCTGTTGAAGGAATCGTCACTTCATGTTTTGTGGGGTCGATTTCTCCATATCCGCAGAAGAGATGAGTGTAAAGCGTAGCATCAATGTTAGAAGCAGGTAATTTACCGGCCGTGCTGCTCAGCCAATAACCACCGTTCACAATTGTTGGATGAGACATTTTCAATGGATGGAGGACYAACTCACTTCAACAACSGARTACTTTCTCCTTGATATCACTCTCTATATGCACTTCAATCGCTTGTTGTGCCTTGTAAATCTATTTCATTCCAATCCCATATATATACTACTACTACATCTCAACATCTGAATTATTAATTCCTATTTAATTTCTTTCTATTTTTTATGTTATACTATACACCGGCCCATATATGCATGTCAACATCTTCATCAGTTCCTTTTTCATACAT